TTGACCAATAGAACTGCTCATGGTAGATGATAATGGGTTGCTTTCGACTGCTAATACATTATTTGGTTGAGTTGAAATTATGATTTTGAAATTTCTGATTTTTTTTTCAGTTCAATGATAAAAATGGCTTACGCATTGATTAAAAAATTGAATTAATGGTCTATAGATGGGATAACGAACTGAAATAAGAAGCTGAAAAGATTGAGCAGTTGGTTATTTTAATGTCAGATTGTTCATAGTATTGATTATAAAAATTATACAATCGATTAAATATGTATGAACATTAATGTTTTGTATAAAACTTGCATTAGTTAAACATTTGCCATCCAGCAATTAATATATTTTTTTTCATTTATTGTAAAATAATTTAAAATTATTATCTGAAATAAAATATTTTACATCTATGATTTTACTGTATATATTAAATTGCTAACACTTAATACTTAACATTTGGTTGATAACACAAAATAACTGAAAATCAATAGTTAACTGTTAACTGTTAAATAGTTAACAATAGTGACTAAAATATCGAAAATAGTGACCAAATAAGGTAAGTGTCCACACACTACGAAAAATTCATGTAAATTTCGGTTCCCTGAGACCGAACCATGTAAGCGGCCCTTTTGACATAAAAATAAGTTGAAAGAAAGGAGAAAATCAATTGAATCAAACGTTCTTTTCGTTGAGTTGCTTATGTTTCGGTTCGAGAGCACTTAATTTAACATGAAATGTTTGTTTGCGTTCCATAATTTACGTCCAATATGGATTATTTGTAGCTCAAATTTGGAATATATTTGTATGGTTTTATTTCCGTAAATAGACGACAAAATCTGTGATCCAGCCATGCATGGAATTAAATTTGGTGAAGAATAAACAAAATTAAAATTTAAGTACGGCCTATAAGGGAACCTTTTGGGGCATATACTGGCACACTTCCCTAGTGATTACCGACACAGTTACATATCATTACAGAATTCGGTCAGGACTATCACATTGAACATAATCAAGGACGGACAGGAACAAAGCCACAGCAACGAAAAGGAAATTCGGATTGTAAAGGAGCTGAAAAGTAGAGCAGTATACTATGTGAAAGCAGACAAGGGCAACGCGGTCGTTATCATGGACAATTATGACAATCAGATGACAACGAAGATTAACAACGAACCGTATAGACAACTTCGAGTAGACCCCTTACAGAACATAGTGAAACGCGTGGAAAAATCACTGAAGGAGTGCACATCAATATCAGGAGATGGAGCAGGTCGTTTACGGGAATCCAATCCCATTCTACCCAGGATCAAAGGTCTTCCCAAAGTCCACAAACCGGGGAATGAAATAAGAGAGATCGTGTCTGCAGTTGGTTCCCCCACCCACAAACTAGCGAAGTAGATAGTCACAGAGTTCCAGAGTATGCCGAATCAGTTCCAGAGTAAGGCAGTTAATAACACCAAGGAGTTCGCCCAGCAACTAAAATCTTCAGGAGACATCAACGAGGACGAGATTATGGTATCTTTTGACGTCACATTTCTGGAGGACTCGAGATTATCACAACCAGAAGATGAAGCATGGAGAAACAAGGTTCGGACGTACCTTAAGCTGGCCCACCTTTGTATGTAAGAGAAACTACTTCTCTTTCCGAGGTAGCTTCTACAAGCAGACGAAAGGAGCCCCAATGGAAACCCCTTATCCCCCTTCCTGTGTGAACTTTTTCCATGGTCAACTTGGAGACAATCCTGAAGGAGAAAGGACTAGTACCAAATCGTTGGTGGAGGTTTGTTGACGATATCTTCAGCGTAGTTACACGGGAAGCCCTTTCACAAGTTTTTGATGAGATCAACAGAATTCACAAGTATTCGGCCCAACTCCTACTAGACATAGAATTTAGTGAATTTTGCTACAAACAAAGAACAATGAATTGTCGGCTCCGTAAAGCTAACGCGATTGAAGCTTACCGATAAACGAACTAGAAAAAAAAAAACAGAATTCACAAGGATATCAAATTCACTCGAGGTAGAAAAAGACGGAAAACTCGCATTTATCGATAGTCATTAGGGAATCGTCATCATCTTCTTGGCTTGCAAACGATATTTACAGGAAACCAACAAGCATCAAAAGAGTTATCCCCTATACGTCCACCCATTCGTTCCAGCAGAAAATGGCCGCCTTCCACCACATGATTCATCGGATGCAGACTCTTCCACTCAGCGAAACAGGAAAGGTTAAGGAATTACAGTAGGGTAATTGATTCTGGTTGGACCTATCCAAAAACTGATGATGGTTGGACCTATTTTTTCAATCGCTAGTTTAGTCAATCTTCGCTAAGTTTTTATTTTCAAAGATCACTTTACTATCATAAAAACTCTTTTTTTTTCAATTTGCATGGGTGTTTTATTGACAAAGCTTCAAAACAATTGAGTTTCAATGTATTTTCAAAACAGTTCACTTTTCACGCATTAGCTCTGTTCGCGAGAAAATGTCCAGCTGCACTCGTGACGTTGGCCAATCGTGATATTGTCACGACACAACACTTCTGGTAAACCGAGAGAAAAAAAAACCAGGCGGAATAAAACCAACAATTGCACTGCCAAAAAAGAACGACCGTATCTTCTACTTTCGGATTGACCGGCGAGAGAGCGATATGGAACGATGCGTTCGATTTCAAAGCTTTTATTTAACTTCAGGTTCACCGTTAACATGCTGGCCACCGAAGTTGAGCTAGGCATGAGCTAGCTCCTGCGTTGTCTTCGTCGGGATCTATCGGAAGGATAGCGATCTCGGTAACCGTCCGTTTGAACTGCCCGGAACCGGTCTTGACCACGACCACCCGGACTCTTCCATCCTTCCCTGCCACGGTTTCGATGATCCGCCCCAACGGCCATTGGAGTGGTGGTGCGGTCGCCTGCTTTATCAGTACCAGTTGGCCGGTGCGGATGTCGGATTGGGACTGCTTCCAGTTCGTTCGCTGCTGGAGTTGACTGACATAATCCAGCTGCCAGCAACGCCAAAGGTCTTGGACCGACCGCTTCATCTCTTGGAGGCGTGACAACCGATTCGGGTTTACGTCGATCAAGTTGGGCTCCGGGATTGCCACGAGAGGTTCACCGACGAGGAAGTGACCAGGAGTCAGAGCGGAACAATCGTTAGGCGAATCTGTAAGCGGAGAAAGAGGACGGGAATTGAGCACCGATTCAATCTGGGCAACGACGGTCTGGAGCTGGTCTACGGTGAAGGAGCGGTTGCCCATGATGCGCCGGAAGTGGTGCTTGAAGGATTTTATTCCGGCTTCCCAGATACCGCCGAATTCGCATCGTACGAAGTTCTCGGTCTGTCCCGACGAAGCCAGTCGCGTTGTCGCAGTGTAATTCAAGCACTCGCCCGCGACGAGCTACGAATCGCTTGACGGCGTTTATGCAGGCGACGGACGACAGATCGGCGACGACTTAGAGATGCACGGCCTTCACCACGAGGCACACGAATAGCCCGACGTACACTTTAACCGACGCGCCCCGACCACTTAACGGACGTACGAGAAACGGCCCACAGTAATCCATCCCAGAGTGTATGAACGGTCTGGCAGGTGATACGCGAACGGACGGCAGCGCTGTGCTGTGCTACCCGTGGTTTACATCGAAAACAGGTTACGCATCGGCGTACCACCTTTCGTACTAGTTGCCGACCCCGGACTGGCCAAAATCGCTGGCGAACAGTAGCGAGTGTGAGTGTAGGACCACCGTGAAGTGTTCGGACGTGGCTGGACTTTGCGATGAGCCAACTGAGTTGATGGTCAGCTGGAAGTAATATCGGGAAACGAGTGTCGTACGGTGCTCTCATGTTGGCTCGTCTTCCGTTGAGCCTGAGCAAGCCGAACTGGTCCATGAACAGCTTCATGTCCTTGAGTGGTGATTTCGACGGGGATATTGCTGCAGCGGATGGTGCATCTTGCAGGCGACGAAAGTAACAAACTTCAGCCTGGAAGGACGCTAGTTGAACTTCTCGCACTAGAATCTTGAGCGCATGTTCACCTTCCTCTGGTGTTAGTGAATCGATAGTGCGTTCGCTCCGGGGGAGCCTTGCGTTGCTGAAAAATCGGTAGTATCGTGCTACGACGCTTGGCTAGGTCCGAGAATCGTTCGAACAGTGATGAATCGACGGTTGTGCTATGCAGAACGATGTTTGGGAAGGCTTCTTGTTGCAAATCGGAAGTGTCCGGCGTCGAAAACGCACACTCGGGCCAATTGTCAACGGGGGTTTTGAGAAAACTCGGTCCATGCCACCACAAATCGTCCTTCGAGATCTGGCTTGAGAAATCCGGTCGGCTGAATTCAATTCCAACGGCACATGCCTCCACGTGCAATCCTTCGAGAGACGCTGTATTTCAGCGATGCGGTTCGAGACGAAAACCTTCCAGACATTCGACTGTGACTTGATCCAATGTAGAACGATCGTAGAGTCCACCCAGAATGTTGGAGGTTCCACGAATTCAGTGTTTCGACGTAGATTGTCGACAAGCTGGCTACCGAGCAGCGCAGCGCAGAGTTCCAGACGAGGAATAGACTGTCCACGCAGTGGAGCAACGCGTGATTTGGCAGTCAGTAGATGGCTGTGGAGCTGTCCGGAATCGTCACGAGAGACGACGTAGATGCAACAGCCGTATGCTGTTTTTGAAGCATCGCAGAAGCAGTATAAGCTGTATTGGCGACTCTGCACGGCTCTGCGTGGCACGGAGAGAGCTTGTAGTTGGCTGAGCTCCGAGCGGTAGACTGCTCACCAGGCGGCGTATTCTTCGGACAGCCCTTCATCCCAGTCTAAATGTTCTGCCCACAGAACTTGGACAAACATCTTGGCTTTAATCACCACTGGTCCCAGGAGGCCTAGAGGATCGAATAGCTGTGACATTTCGGACACGACGAGGCGTTTTGTTGCGGCGTTCAGCAGTGGCAGAGCTGGTATCTTAAATTTGAATGTGTCCGATTGTGGAAACCACAGAAGTCCCAAGGTCTTCACAGTAGGAGAGCGATCGATTTCAAGCTCCCGCGAGGTTTCCCACAGCTGACGAGGACGGCGGCATCGTTGGTCGCCCACTTCCTGAGCACGAGGCCGGCTTGCTGCAGCATCTCCATCAACTGACGACAAGTTTCAGCGAGCGTATCTAGGTCGTCGTGGCCGGTGAGTACGTCGTCGACGTACGTTCCTTTCTTGATCACAGGGACCGCCAACGGAAAGCGTTCTCCTTCGTCAGTGGCCAACTGGTAGAGCACACGAGTAGCATGGAAAGGCGAGCTAGCGAGACCATAAGTCACGGTTTTTAGTTGATACACGCGCACTGATTCTGACGGATCTTTCCTAAACAGGATCTTCTGATATTTCCGGTCATCTGGATGTGTCCAAATCTGCCGGAACATCTTCTCGGCGTCAGCAGTGACGGCGAAGCGAGGCATGCGGATGTTGATAACGGTTGAGTACAGAGCTGGCTGTATTGTCGGACCGGACAATAGGACCTCGTTGATCGATAAGCCGCGAGAACCTCGGCAGGATCCGTCGAACACTACTCGTATCTTCGTGGTTGTACTCTCAGGACGGTGGATGGCATGGTGGGGTAGAAAAAACTGAGGGCTACGCGACGCGGACGGATTCACCTCCTCCATATGTCCCAGTCTTTCATATTCTTCCATGAACGCGTGGTACGCTTCACGAAGGCCTTCATCGACAGCAAACTTTTTCTCCATCGGATTGGAGCCGACGTAGTGCGAGTGGGTAGGAATCTCCAAGCATTGGTAGCATTTCCTCCCGTAGAGGTAGACGGACGATGTATCTGCCGTCTTCAGCTCGACTGACGGATTGTTGGAAGTGGTCTTCACAACGCTGCTCATCGGGAGTGTAGGCTTTCCCGACGTCAAAATTTTCAACTTCCCAGAACCGTTCGAGCTGCTTGTCGAGTGTGTCGTTCATGCAGACATGACTACTCTGAACTGCCTGTGGATCGGGAGCTGGATCCACTACCTTTCCGCAGACGATGTAACCCAGAACTGTCTTCTGTAGTAGCGGATACCCAGTAGCGACAGAGATTTGCTGATGTTCCAGGAGCGAATAGAACAATTCAGCGCCGATGATCATATCAATCTTCTGGCTGATGTTAAATTGGGGATCAGCCAGCGGAAGATTACGAGGAATCCTCCATCGTGTAACGTCGATATGGTGGCTGGGTAGCGATATGGTAAGCTTCGGCAGCACTAGACAGTCCAGACTGAAGCGATGATCTCCGTAGCGTGAAGCGAGCGAGATTGTAACTCCGAAGTGGACGTTCACAGTGGATTGACCAATTCCACTGACCGGCGAGTTGAGCTTGACACGCTTCAAACGGAGTTTCTGGCATAGTGATTCGGTGATAAAGCTGGGCTGTGAGCCACTATCCAGCAAGGCTCTGGCGAAATGTTCGTTGTTGTCAGCGTCCTTCACCTTGATCACTGCTGTGGAGAGCACAACACTACATTGACGAAAAACTTGAGTCACTTCAGCACCTTGACAGGACGTGGAGGAAGGTGAATGATTACCGAGAACGATTGAATCAACCGGCGATGTGGAGGGGGCGATACCAACCGAAAACGATTGCGAAAACGATCGAGACGACAAGTTCGCGAGTGGTGAGGTAACGGCTTGTACCGGCGGCGGAAATACAACGGCGTTCGCATCGCGTTGCGACATTTGATACGAATGCGAACCGATTGCTTCAACGGATTGACCAATCAATGCTGGTGTAGATTGGTTGGTCTGCGCTGCAGGTGTACCAGGAGCCGATGATGACGAAATTGGCGGTAAATGCAGCAACGAATGATGCTTCTTGGAGCAATACTTGCACGATCCACTGGAGCAATTCTTTGCCATGTGTGTACCCTTCAAGCAGTTTATACCGTGCCGATTCAAATTTCGGACACTTAAACTCGAATTTCGGACACTTTTAAAAGTTGATTATCTCGGTCGAATATGATCCACATATCTTGTAAATTTTAAATTTTTTTGACTAGTGCCCTCCACGATCATCTAACATTATTACTTTGTTTCTAACTGGATGTAATATTTAATTAAAAATGAAAGTGTCCGAAATTTGAATCGTCCGAAATTTGAATCAGAACGGTACAAAGCCCATGCTTCTTTACAATTTCAAATCGTTGCGGTACGAGATTCTGGAAGGCGGTACACTGAAACAGGAGATGCGCTTGTTTACAGTTGGGGCACTTCTTGACATTTTCAAAAGCGACGTAGGCTGTGGTGAAGCGTGGCCTAGATGATTTGGGTTCGGATTGGGTACTGTTAAGGTGGGAGAGCGTGATTGTTTTGATTATTCGTGATCTTTTGTGGGCAAACTCGAGAAGCTCTTTGTATGTGGGTCGATCTCCATCTTCAACTAGTGTTTCCCATTCTCGGAGTGAACCAGGATCCAAACAACTGCTCAGTTTTTCAACGAGGAAGGAATTCCAGTGTTCCTCTGTAGTTTCGAGCTTGTCCAACAGTTGAACGTGGCGATCGAAACTGTCAGCCAGATCCAACAGTCCCACAGAAGATTCCTTTTTCAAGGGATTGACCGCCAGCAACGCCGATATATGCCGCTTTATAAGTAAATTAGGGTTTTCGTATCGATCCATCAAAAGATTCCAAGCAACTTGGTAATCGTCAACCGAAAGCTCGAGTGCTGAAATAATACGAGCTGCCTCGTCCGAAAGAGATGCTCGCAAGTAATGCATCTTTTGTACCGTCGTTAGCTGCTGATTCGAGTGGATCAATGAAACGTACAGATCGCGAAAAGGTACCCAATCGTCAATTTTCCCACCAAACACCGGAATCTTAATTTCTGGAAGTCGAACATGAGCGACAGGTAGAGCAGGCTGAGCGCAAACGGAAGTCGATGCGCGAGATGGAGGGGGAGGAATGGGAGGCTGAATGGGAAGCTTGCTCTGCAACGAAGACTTCAGCCCGAGGTACAACAGCTGAAACTCTCACCTTTGCTCCGAAAAATGCTCCTCTTCGTCTTCCAAAACCTCAATATTCTCCTGCACGGACAGAAAAACATGCCACAACTCATCAAGGTACCCAATTTGTACGGCTAGTTGGTCCTTGTGAGTGGGATCATATGTTCGATTGAATTCCTTGATCATCATCGCCGAACCCAAAATGTTCGTCCGACGACGATGTAAAAGTTTCAGCTTTGTTGCTGAGCTTGCGGATTTGCTCGCCTTTTTTGCAGGCATTTTCCAAACACCACCACCAGAAGTAAACGAAAGAATTTACCTGCGCTTGCGGGGGTAAATCTAACCTCACCGACTTGGTCCGGCTGTTTACTGCTTGCACTGGGAAGGGTACAGAAAATTTACTGCTGCTGTTGCTTTCCTCCGGCTACTTAGATCCAACGACGAGATGCTGATATTCCGGTTGCTGCTGGAGCTACCCCGGGAACTGTGGATGACGACGAACTGCGACGGAATGCACGTGCTGGCGTGTTCCTTTCGATGGTTGATGGTTAGCTGGAACGACACTACAAACAACTGCAATGGCGACAAATGCAACGCAATATCCCGGGTTTCGGCACCAAAATGTTCACGAGAAAATGTCCAGCTGCACTCGTGACGTTGGCCAATCGTGATATTGTCACGACACAACACTTCTGGTAAACCGAGAGAAAAAAAACCAGGCGGAATAAAACCAACAATTGCACTGCCAAAAAAAACGACCGTATCTTCTACTTTCGGATTGACCGGCGAGCGACTATGTGTTTCCTAAGACGGCCGCTAGGTGCGCTTCGGTTTGTCTACATCCTTCATGCGCAGCTGATTTGAAATTCGATTTCGTTTTTTTCCAAGTGATCAGTTTCTTCGATTGAAAAAATGGCTAAAGAAAAGAGTTATACGGTCGAAAATCTTCAAGAGGCTTTTCTTTTAGTAAGAAATAAATCACTTACCGCGTATCAGGCACAGAAAAGGTACAATATTCCGAAAACGACGCAAAAATTAAGGGAAGCCACGGCAAGAAATATGGAAGGGAAATAGTGTTGAGTGTTGATTTGGAGAACTAGCTAGCGGATTGGGTTTGTATGTGCGCTGCTTCTGGCAGTCCCTAGACGACCAAAAAGATCTCGGAAGCTGCTAAAGACCTTGCGTCACTAGTTGGGCGTAAATTTAAAGGAGGAATTCCATCGTCAGGTTGGTTGAAAGGGTAACCACCGATTTCCGAACTACCACGGAAGCGCCGAAAGAATCTATTAATATGAATTTACATTAAGCATTTCTCATACACCTTCTGTGTGTGAATTAACTTGAAATAAAATGTTAACAAACTAAAAATTGCTAACTGAAACTTATTTCCAAAAAAAAAAAAAAACTAGTGGAAAAAAACTATAAAACTGGAATTCAGTTCTGATATTCTGTCATTTTAAGCCCCTAAATTCCCCGAGGGCACCCAGAACAGGCTCGGAAGTGGCCAATGTGGTCCAAGGCACTCAATTTTGTTATTGATCTTGTTATCGAATTTGGAAGTAATGTAAAGTGTCGCATGATAGGTTTTATTCCTTCCATGTCAAAATTAGGTCCATGTTCCATATACCCTGGAACTTGTTCCGGCCATATCTCTGGAACCAGTTGACCGATTCCAAAAATATTCGATAGTTTCCAATGGGACCACAATACCTGTAGTTTGACGTTAAAAAATTTCCAAATCGGGTCAATGATTTCCGAGAAAATGAGCCACGATGAATAGTTAATGCGTGGCAAGTGTACTTTTTAAAAAACGAAGTTAAACTCAAATTTCTTGATTTTTTAAAATAGCAAATTCATAAAAACTGTATAAAAAGGGTTTTTTTCATGATACCAATAAGCTCTAAACAAAGTTTTTGAACAAATATGGGCTAAACTAGCATTTGCAAAAATAGGTCCAACCATCATCATTTTTTAGGTCCAACCAAGATCAGTATAGGTCCAACCAACATCATAATTCTTTGCTGAATAAAAACGTTTTATAAAATCATTTGTTCATAATATTTAACTTTTTATGTTATCATTAGAAACAAGAAAGGTAGATCTTTCCCCTAATCACGCATTTTTCATAATTATATGTTGAATTCATAAAAAAAAATACGACATGAATATTGACGTCGTGTGAAACCGGCCTAAATAGGTCCAACCATCATCAGTTACCCTACATCTTCGAAACAGCGAGACTCAACGGATGCAATCATCGATAAATGTGTGAATTCTACAAAGGAGATTATATACAACCCTCACCGCAGCACCTGAACCCTTGAAACGAGTGTTCGTTCCATTTGATCCCGATACTACTTGTAAGCTTTGACTACAGTTAAAGCAATTCGAATTAGATTTAGTTTTCACCAGTAGACATAACCAGTTAAAATCATTGTTAGGATCCACTATAGACCCAGTTAATGTTTAAGGTAAAGCAGATGAATAAAAAACAAGCTGTAATCACTGTAACAAAGTATACGTAGAACAAACCAAGAGAGTTCTCTTAGCAACTAGATTTAAATAACATATAGCGAAGGTTAATAAGGCCAACAACCAAAAGGAAAATGGCCTAACAAATTATTTCAAATCAAATGTTGCAGAACAGATCTTCACAGAGGACCACCAACTATCGACGGAGGACATCACGATTTCACGAACCGTATCTACACCGTGGAAATTGAATGTTGCAGAGAGCCTCGAGATCGGAGACGGAATTCAACTTTATTCAACAGGGATCAAGGAAAAGGACACACATGGCTTTTCAAGTTATTACCTAGGACACATCAACGAGTAAGCAGTGGAGTACCTGCTCATACAGGAAATTAGATTTAAGTTTACCTTGCTTCTAAGTGAAAATATACCTGGGTTAATGTATATTCGTTAAAATGCGGTGTTTTCTTCAGTCGAGCATTACTACAAGACACTGAAGAAGTCTACACATTGTAGACGAAATACGCGTATCTGTCAAAGATACACAAATAAAGAAGTGGAATAACATGAAATTACTAATCCTTCTCTCTCTCTCTCTTTATACAGGTATTCCGCCAGCATTCATCAGGACTCCTGTATGTCCTTTATTCACTCCTTCTCGGTATAGTCTACCATCGCAAATTTGTAGTAGCAATAAGCGTCGTTTCGATGATTGAAAACAGGCGGCTGTTGTTTCTCAGCAGCAATTGCTTCTTCTTGTCAGCATCCAGGGACGTCGCATTAGAGTGAGGCTTATTTTTGATTGATGTTTCAAAGCAGGCGACCGCTGTTTGTCAGCATCGCTATCTTCATCTGCATTGTTCATCCATCTCCACTATCTGTTCTTCCAGCACGTCAACCGCTTCCACTGTGTCTTTATCGTTGTCCACTAGTTTCTTCTTTGTTCTGTTGTTTGTTATACTCTTCCTATTGTTGCTGTACTGGCTGCTTCCGTTCCATCTGATGCCCCTCCATCTTACAAAGGAAAAACACATTTTGGTTCCCTTGATAGAATATGCCCCCTTCTAAAGTAAAGCCGTTGGTCCTCGGTCCATGATTAGATGAGCTGATAGGTAGGGTATATCGATTCCACTGATTTGAACTTAATGAACATAGATTTTTCCGCCACTCCTCCACTGTAGCGATTATTTGAGTGAGATCTACGTCCAACGCTTACACAAAGGTCGCAATTTCCTCCATTGATAGTTTTGCACAGCTAGCTGCGAAGTGTCAACTTTATTTCCACCAACATCTTGCAACGCACAGTCATAGAGGTAACTCTTAGACTAGAAGGTCTCGAAGAAACGTGCTAAGCTTTTTAGCTCAACTCTGGTACTCTCTTCGGTCCCAAGCTAATCGATGCACCCCTCGAAACATAAGAAAATCCACGAGCCCCTCATTTTATCT